GACAGCTTCATTTCATATAATTATATTTATTTTATAAGGATTGCACGATAATTATCATTAATATCATTATTTAGAATTTTTATGAAAAATGGTTGACTTTACTAAAAAAAAATTTGCAAAAACTACAGGTTATGAACTTTGAACTTGAAGAAATCGGTATCGACCATGAGAAGCATTTAATTATGGAAGCCCATTTCTGCAAAAAAAAAAAAAAAAGATTCTGTAAGTCATTATGAGATAATCAAAATATTGACTTAGCATCACAAAATAATGACTTAGTATCTAAAAGTTATTATTTTGCTATTTCTAATCTTTTATTTTTGTCACATTGGTGGAAATGGGTAACATAGGTAATTATTATATATAAAATATATATAAAATATATAAATATATAAATATATATATATATATAAAAATCCATAAATCCACAGATAACATTTGAAAAAGGCTTCTCAAACTAGGGCTGAATGATAGATTGACAGATATTGCAATGGTTATATGATTCACAGTTAGTGGGAATTATCAGATCCGTAGGCCAGGGCAATCTCTGCAGCACTACATTACTTCATTATAATACTTTTTTTGGTCTCATCTTTTATTTTTATCAAAAAACTGCAGCTTTTCCGGTTTGGATATTGCACTTCGCCATACTGCAATTTCAATAACACTAGATAAATTGTGCGGCCCTATCCCAATTTCCATAAAAGTAATGACAGAGAAAAAGAAGAGCGCAGATGAAAATGGAATATGCTAAATATGTGCACAAACAAGCACTTCATGGCATGAAGAATGCAGAGAAAGGCTTGGACTAGCTGCTACTCTGGATTTGCAACTCAAGCTCTGAGCTTAGCCTCTTGCTCAGGCGGCGTCGCTTTCTCGCTGTTCTGCATTTAACGCATTCCCTCCTCTTTTGGTCGTCTCATGACATTTTGGGGACTTTCGGTTTGGCTTACACTGTGGTAGGAACACGCTCCAAAATGACTTCCTGCCAAGCACCAGATACGGGTAGATTTAGGGTTTGGCAGAAAAATGTATTGGGGTAAATCATTTCAAATCACTGCATAGAGCCGGGCTTACATCGCTGTGTTTTATATGTGTACCAGCTGAGAAGAACATGACCCTCACTGTCCACCGTACCTACCGTGATGTCAGAGAAACAAGTCAAAGCAGCTTACTACTATCTGGCACTTTCTACACAATGTCTGGTATTTGAACAGAAACATCTGCGTTACATGTTATTACATATATAAACAGTAAACTGGACTGTACTTGTATAGCGCCTTTCCCACCACTCAAAGCGCTTTACACTCCATGCCACATTCACCCGTTCAGACAGCGATGGCAGAGCCCATGGGACCCCTGCGACCCTGGCCGCCTTTAAGAAATACTGTGACACTTCCATCTGTTTGCCACGGTCTCACAGTTAAGAATGAAATCCAAACTGTTCGAAAAGTTTGATCCTGTATGATCACAACTTCAAGTCCAAGTGGGATGACACTGCCGATCACTGAGCGCCGATGCGTGATGAGATAGATTACTCGGTGCACAGATTCCATCCTCTCTCTACACACACTCACAGTTGTGCAGCGGGGGGTTTTTTTGTTGCGTGCTGAGATGTGGAACGCGAAGAGAGCCTGTAAAAAGTCTGCGGTCAACTCGTGTGAACCCTTACAGGAGCTGAGTGCTGAACCAACAGGGCCGACACCAGACCACCAAACTCAGCCTGCAGCTACATGCACGCACACCGCCCCAGCCTCCATTAGAGAGTGTACCCATGTGAAAAAGTCTGAGTGAGCGGAGCCCACTTAGGGACTGAAATGGCTTCAACTGTTTACTTGCTCCACAGGCTGGTTTCTCAGAGATTTCTGACTGATGGGTGACAACCACTCCACCTTGCCTCGGAGCGAGCGGCGCTTCCTGGAGTGGTTCGCTGTAATCCAATGGGGTTTTTTTTTTCCAGAGACAGACAAGCAGCCCTGAGAGAGCGGTTAAAACACCTGGCCTCCATTTCAGAAAGGACTTAAACACACAATCTGGCGCATACATGAATGCACAGGAGCAATGCACGTGCACACACTTGAGGAATATTCAAAAAGGTATAAACATAATGAAAGACTGCCAGTCTTCTTCCACTCTGTTACTTTCTCTTATGAAAGTTTGATTCAGGCAAGTTTGTAATTTAATAATGCAACGGCTCAAAAGCACATTACATGATGCTAATTTATGAGTTTTACAGCCGTATACTGCAATTCTAAATATCCCAAATCAAGTAATAAATATAGAAAGATCAGCCATATGTATCACATGATAACAACAATAACACAGGACTGTCTTAACATACTGTATCAGCAGATACTAAAGGTTTTGCTATTGGTATGAGGAAGAGACAACTGGTATGAAACCTTTTATAATTACATTATTATTCAGTTGCACGGTGATACATTACATTCCTGTAGTTACGTTGATGAATGTATCCATTCCACTGTGACAGGGTGGCTGGCTATCTGATCAATAGCTCTGCGATTATAAGGCCGAAACACATCCAGGTCTCAGTAATAAAGAGAGGGTTGCTCTCTTGAGAGGAGCTGCTATGAAATATGATGATGACCATCTACTGCCGGCTATGGAGTCAGAGAGATGGAAAATGGGAGCAAGGAGGGGTGGAGGGACACACAGAGAGAGACTTCTTTTCTTTTGATTATTTTATAAAAATGAAGTTGTGTAAAGAGCCAGAGTCGTGCTTTCCACTCTGCACAGCACATGACCAGACACACATAAATACAGCACTAACGCATAAAGCCCTGAACTAGCTCACGGAGGCAGATTTGGCATGGAGGTTTTATATACTTTTACACAAACTACAAGAAATCAAGTGCGTATCAGAGAAGAAACGATAATCTTCGGTCTTTTGTTTCCATACACCATGTCCAGTGAATAGGCTGGCAGAGCTTCAAAGGCTGGTAATGAGAGAAGCCTCCCTGGATACCGGCTGACATCTTAACGCACCGGATGGCCCGGGTAGGTGGCCAGCTGACCATCACACTGATTGAGTGGCTAATTGGCTGACCGTCTGGGTGGGGGGGACCCAGACAGCCCCGGCTAACATGTAGCGAGACGCAAAAAAGTATCATTACTGCAGTGTGACTGCAAATCACCTTGAGTTCCCTTTAACACCTAAGCAACGCGCAGTCAAGGTCACAGATTCATTTGTGTTTGATGATGCCCTATCGGTCCTGTGATGCCTGAGATTATATCTTGTACACAACACATAAACACTCTGGCAATGTCCTTGAAGACAAGGGTCACCATAGCAGCTGAGGAAAGGCAGAAATGTGCGCGCACACACACATCTCCTTCTGGTTCGATGTGTTCAGGTGAGCCGTCTGACACGCAGAGAGGACGACTTCCTCCGGTCTCTATATAACAGACACTACCTATCACTGACAATGGGGGAAAAAAAACAGCATTCGAGGCTAAACATAGGCAGACACAGAACACTAGTCGGGTCTATTATTCATTATAGCATGGTTATACATATTGCAACAACTAAGTGACCTCGCTAGATATGATGGACTCTAATATGTTGTGTTTATTTACCCTAGTGCCTGACAGAGCATAAATGCATGTTTTATCTCCAATGGGATTTCAATGCTTGGCAGTAAATTGGATAATAAAAACAAAAGTGTGTCTTCCTGCCAAACAGGCAGGCAGCCAGCCAGTGGCCAGACCAGCAGGGTATAGGGAACAAAGGAACTGAGGAGGCAATATTTCACTCAGGGCAAGCAGCTCCTCTCATCTTTCACATGGCAATGCAAACCTACAGCGGCCAAGATTTCACACAGCCAGACAGAACTAGAGGGGGCTAACATTTCACTTGTCCAATTTCCTGTTACTGGGCACCACCCCCTGCCTGATATCACAGTTTCCCTGGTCTTTTGCTGAATAGGTCAGTGGCCTGTAGTGCTTACAAAAGCTCTGCGCGCAGGTTTAACGTGTTAAATACCAGTCAAGTTCACCAACTCATCTAAGACACGACAACTTAGACAAAGATGCAAGGCGTCCTGGCAGTCTATTAAAAGCATGAGGTGAGAGCCCTGAGGGGTGAGGGTCCCATCTATTATTTAGGGGCTGCTGACACCGACACACTGACGGGCAAAGACGGGGAATCTGCTCTCTGCAGCAGTCTGGGCTGGAATCCAGCAGAAAGGACGCTGAATATAGGATACAAACAGGGAAATACCCCCTCATAACAATTACATGTATATCATCCTTGTATGTTTTTATTACATTGGGGGAAATATTACAGTCTCACACCATGTAGCAAAAGATTACTATTAAAAATCATAAGATCACTATTTACTCTCTATTCACTACCGGAGAGTCAGATGGAGTCCCATCAAGGAGAACACAGTCAGTGATTTTCTTTCTAGGTCACTACTAGAATATTTTAATTACAGTAAATCACACCAGGAGCCGGGTACTAACAGTGTGTACATGTAGCACAATGACCGAGCTAAAAACCCCGGTGCTTTGAAAGCGGACGTGCACCTACCGGTCGGTATCCGAGGGCCAAGTGAAGACAAAGCAGCAGGGGATGAGCTGCGGGATGACAGCGGCACAAAAGCCTTGCGCTCCTGCGAACAAAGCGGGCTTCCCGGCTGCTTCAGCATCCTCGCTCATTACTTTGCAACTTCATCAGCATCGTTTCACGCACTCGACCTGGACTTTAACTCGCTAGTAAAATCCACCGCTGCGACCCGAAGCTTTCAATGTGTCTGCAAGGGGAGGAAGACGTGCCCCGGCTAGTCATTCAGAGTCACCGGAGGGACCTTAAACTGTGAATGGCCGCGTGCTTGACTGAATCAGAGCGATGCTGCCTTCACGTGCCCCTCGTAAACTCCCCCTCTCGGTGCTCCGTGTATTAGTGGTGCCTTTAATGGACGTTGGTTGTCAATAACAACAGTTCCCTGCCTGTGTCACCAACTGTGGGATGTCTTTAGCGTCGTTTCTCCCAGGGCACACAATTAATCGGCCTATTATTCAAATGTGTGTTTTTATGTCGGAATCAAAATGCTCTACTTGAACACCACTCACGGGATTTTTTTTGTCAGAAATGTAGTTTTAAATATTTTCAACACAGTGGAAAAATAGTATTTTCGAAAAGGAAGTGTCAATAAAGTTCATGTATTATTCAGGCTAATTATCTATTTATGACAAAGTCATACATAGCATTTGTTGTGTAGGGACACGAGTTTATTTGCGATTCTTCTCGTCAGATCGGTTATATCCGTTTAGCAAACCCTTCACAGACGCTGCACAAACCCCGAATTTTCCAGAGGAATCACTTCATCTTTTCTTTTAATTAGGCTCAAACTGGCAACATAACTGCACTATTTCCCACATCACTTGAAGGCATCATCAAACTGGTACTTAATGAATCGATGTCTGCAGTTTTCCTTGTCGAAAAACAAGCGGGGGGGGCAAACATATACAATATACAAAATGAATATTACAGGCCTCCAGGTTGTTAAATACAGGCCATATAAGAATGATGAGCTGTATAAATAGTAATCACAGACGGCCATATTTAAATATAGGCCTAAGGATTCTTACTAGGGATGCACTGTATGGATGTTGTTTTCAGCCGATATGATAACCGACAATCACCTGCTTGATCTGGCTACTTACTGATAAGATAACCGATCGTTTTATTGTTTTACATTTAAAAAGAAGTTATTACCCCGACGTTTTTAAACTCCTCGGGGTAAGAAAGGCTGAGATGCAGTGAGCAAAGATTGATGATTTAATACTCCATAAATCTGATCTAATCAAACAGACAACAGGTCTGACTCTTGTGATGTTCCAGTGTAAACTCTGGCTTCATAGCGATAAGACAAACGGTGTGCTGCTGTAATGTACAGGCAATGTCCCCTCCATGACACCAGGGGACTCCTGTACACAACCAGTAACACCACATCAGCGCTTCCAGGCGGGTTGCAGAGGCACAGCGCTGAATGACTAACTCACTTTTGTACATTTTGTGATTTCGAATAGTATCGACAGCATAACCAGCCCTTTTGTTGCACTGCCTCTACATTTCATGATCCAGATGGAGCCATCAATAGCTCACCCGCGGCTTTTACAATAATGCTCACTAGGAATTCAGATTAACCATCGGAGCATCTGTCTGCTACAACACCGAGCTCTCGAGCAGCTCACTATCTGTCCACTGGACCACGAAGGCTGTGCTGTTTCTGTATCATGTATTATCCAGTGAACTCAGTATTTATTAGTTCACAGCGGTTTCTACCCACTTTCTGACTGGATCTTTTCAATAATAGTGACAGGTCCGTCACACAACTCTGATTCCTACAAGTGAACGCAGATAACCAGAGGGGCTAACATGCCCAGACATGTTAAAACAATGTTGGTAACACATAGTTTGTCATCATCAGCAGGGTGTTAGCTCCATATGGCACCCGTTAACTTAAGATACGTAAAGTGGCACATGAAACAGGCAACATATGAAGCTCATACTGTTACTATAGGACCCAATAAAAGTCACAGCTGCCGTCCTTGCTTTGAAAGTGTGATTGAACTACGATGTGAGAAGCAAGGCGTCACCGGACACCGTGCTGTACGGAGGCTTCAGAGCAGCTCAGAGGGGTTTTAGACTTTTTGGTTAGGCTGTTAAATGAACGTGAGACGCTAAAAGCTAAACACGTCGCCGCGGCTAACGTTAGCTAGCGTTAGCCGTCTCCACCCTCAAGAGTTTAAAACAACTTCTTATTTACCTCCGTGCTTTACATTCCGATACGACCTGCTGTCCCGGCCGCTGTACATTCACTCGGGTAGGTGGAAGGCGGAATGGCAGCAGAGTTCGTAGAAAGCCCCAGCTCACAGCAGACACAGGAACTACACTTCCAGGCTGTCGACTCTCTGTTTTGATTTTGGGAGAGCGGAGATCACGCCAAACATATCGCGAGATAACCACACGTCCCAAGGTAACTTACAACCTCCCAGCAGCTACTAACATACACAGTAACACTGCAAATAACCATTAAAACAACGAAATTCAATACAGTTTAATTCATTGTTTTTTTATTTACTCATATTTTACACACATAGCATAGGACCTAACGTTACGTCTAAAAATAAAACGGCCTATTTTATGCTGGTTAAAAACATTTAAAAAAATATACAATTTATTTCTATGTTGATGAAGTGCATTGCCTATTATTAAGCCTAACCTTACAATGTCCGTTTGAAGTTTCACAGTCAAAATCCAAGAAAAAAATAAGTATCATTATAAGTAAGTCTACAGTGTAAATCCATACATTTATACGAAATTGACATGAAATTAAAGAGGAATGGCCGTCGATAAAGGCACTGTCCAATCCTAAACAGCGCTGTTGGTCCGACTCTATCTCCTTCAGCTAGTTGAAGTAAGCAGCTTTATGAGTGGCTCACAACGCCACTTGTTAAGTTAAAGTGCATACACAACGGGGAAGCTTTGCCTCGTCGAGGCTCACTTTCCCCTTTTATCGGTTCCATAAAAATCAAGTTCATAAATAAAATGAAATAAATAAAGTGAAAATGTAGAATAAATAAAACAAAAGTACATTCTAACAATAGACGGACACAGTCACACGTCTTCAAACGCTTTTTCCAAATAAAAAATAAAATAAATAACTAGCCTGAACCTCTGTAAAAGGGATGTTGGAAATGTTATATAAAATCAAAATCATGACTGGTTTGACTTGAGGAGCTTCTCCAAGAGGTTCAGAGCGTACTGGATCTCCTCCGGTGTCAGGTCGCTCAGGTCGGGCAGCTCCTCGGGACGCAGCCTCCTCCTCGACCGGCCAGCCTCCCCGCTGCTGCCCCGGGCCAGCGCGGTGTGGATGCCCCGGAGCCTCATCTGCAGCCACTCCCGGCGCTCCTGCACCTGCCTGTGCTCCCCGAGGTTGTGCATCAGCTGGACCTCACTCACCGTCCTTTTTCTGTAGGAGCATGAGATATAGGTTTATGTGAGCCTGATGAGGTAATGAACTTTTAGGCCTCATTAGGTGGTCTTAATCTGAAGGGGTCGATAGGAGGAGGTTTGGGGGGGCTGTTACCTTAGGGGTCGCCCTTCACAGACAAAGACGAGGTGTAAAATGCAGAGTGAGATGAAGACGGTTTTATAGTCCAGATTGCGCATGTTGACCTTGATGACCTGTTAAAATAAAAATTCAAAAACAATTCAAAATACAACATTTACAAAGCTTTCAAAAACATGACATATATTGCAAAAAACGAAATAAATAACAGAATTTTAAATGCCTGATCTTCAGCCTTATGTTAAAATAAGGAAAGTTTTGGATATGTCCAAAGTCAGTTCAAGTTTTTGTAAGTTTTTATATTGTGTGTTTGGTTTTATCTTACATATTAAGCATTTATATATCACAATATCAGCCCCCAAAAAATAACCAAAATAGATAAAGGAATGAAGTTGAGTTGGGCTAACGGTTCGGCTTTAAGGTAGAACAAGCTGAACATACCTCTGATGGTGGCTTCTCTTCTCTCAGTCTGATAAAAGTAAAGGTTGTGTACCGGTTGTGGTTTGGTGGTTCGCTCCTATCAGTTATAATATGCACTGGACTCTCCAACTTCCTTTTATAGCCCCCGGCTCCAGCCATTGATGAGCTGCCTTCATTATTGCTGTTGATGTCACACCTTCAGCTCCTGGAGGGGGCAGGACGGGAATGACAACACCTCCTCTGAGCTTCAGCTGCATGTTGAACTCAAATACCTTCACACTCACACTCACACACACACACACACACACACACACACCAACATTCCCAAACCTTTAAAGGAATGTCTACATTTCCCTGACATTTGGTGCCAAGTGACATATCATTTCTCCTACTACAATGTTTAATCATATGTTGAAATATACGTATAATATAAATATATAAGTAATCACAGGAAGACTATACAGTAATTTTACTGAAAGGGTTTTACATAAGAAACCCTGTTTCCCAGACTAAACTTTACTTTCCCAAGCACTTTTTTAGCGCAAAAGTTCCCTGCACATTTTCAATTTTGCATGCCTCTCTGTTATTTTTTCCGTAGAGTGGCCAGATCTATTAGTCCACATCTGATGTGACCTTTTTTTGTCTGACTCCCAGCCTGCCTCACAACAATAGCGCCAACATTTGGATGGATTTATGACTCTCATTGACCATTAGGGAGTTTCCCTGGTTACATAGGCACTTTACTCAAGAATTAACATTGTTTTAATGAGTTCACCTCCCAAAAAAAGAGCTCTTATACTGGCCTGACGTCAGAGAAAACATCCTGAATCGAAGAGTAAGTGGGAGTTCAGGAGGTGTGTCAGTGGGTGATGCTGTTGCCGTCACTGTCTCGGTCATGAGCGGTGTGTGCATGTACGTGCTTGTGTGTACGGGTCAGCTTGAGAATCTGAACATCTGGAGGATTGTAACTTACACAGATAGGCTATGTGTTTTCAATTCAGCTGCAATGCTTGTTGAGAAAAAGCAAAGGGTCATTTCACTTAAGAACATATTTCCCTCACATACATTGTAATATACAGATACAGGATTTTTGAGGCTGAAACATCAATATTTGAAAGCCAAAACATGTTGTAATGAAATATCTTGACGATAGTTAGGTTTTACAAAAATACGTAAGATGAAGATGTTTTATAAGGACCACTTAAAAATTTATATTTTAAGAATTATGACCATGATTTGTAATGAACAAGGTGGCCAAACTTAAAAAAGGGGAGACACTAAATCTAAATTACCTCAAAAATATATATCTGTACTGCAATTTATTTATCTGCCAACATACTAAACACTGTTAGCAATATATCTGCAATGAGCTAACATTGGCCGATATGATGCTCCAGCTGATTTATCAATCTAGCTATATAACTACACTTTCTCAAGCAGCTTTCTCAAACTTTTCACATCACACACCACCTCAGAATACTAGGCTCTTCAGGTACCACCATTATGACCTATGTTAAAATATCATAGTGTAGACCGACCCGACCGCAGACAGTTCACACAGGAGGCAGGTTTAGTCCTAAAAATAAGATTATTTGTTGCTAAATGTTGCTAAATGTTGTCAGCCACACTGTACAAAATGGTAGCACTAAAACTCTTCTACACAACTCACAAATCAAATACTAATCATTGGTTTTATGTGTGCGCTATAAAAAACATTTTTTTAGAGGTGTCAACCCAGGCCACCCCTCTAGATCCGCCCCTGTAATAAAATAAAAAAACAAAACTTATTTTAAATTATTTCAATCAGTTTTTCAAAATTTTGTAGTAATTTAATAGTATTATATATTTTTAAAATTTAATTTGAATTATTAAATTATTAAAAAATGCTTTGATGGCAGCTTTAGTACCACCTGGTCGATGTACTCATTTTGAGAACCAGTGATGTAGGCAGTTTTTAGTTTCTAAGATATCCACTTTAGGACTTGGTTGTTTTGGTTGGTCAGGATACACAGACCTTGCTGTATTGGTTTCAGAGGAAGAAGATTAACTTTATTAATCCCCGGTGGGGAAATTCTTTTTCACTCCAGGCTAGAAATATACACACAGGGCTTATAGACATGCAAATGTTGAGATATGGTGGAGTGAAGTGGAGTTTCATAGTGATTACTTTTGCTATCAAGATTTCAAATGTCATTTTCAGTACTATGAGCACCACAAAGAATTTACCCCACTGTACAGGCCTTTTTTACAGTAGACATTTTGAATTAATGAAATATTTTTTTTTATGTCTCTGTATTAAAATATTGTGTTAATATGGTTAGCTATAGAATAAAGTTTTGAGACCTTGACAGGCTCTATTCATTTAGAAAAAAAAGAATGATACTGACTGTAAAAGACATAATGGAAAAAAGTAAATTCCCACAAATACAACAATTCAACATGGAATTCAGACACTACATGGACTGAGGAACATAATAATGAAAACAGTAGAACTTTATAAAGCCTTACATATTTTTCTTTTATGTCTTTGTTGTGTGTTACTACTACCTATGTTATATTATGTTTCGTCATGTACTGTCTTTTTGTCGAACTGTAGACTTTGAAGGTGATTTAACAAGTTTCAGTAAAAAAGAACTTTAAAATAACATCAATGATGACACCGTCGTATTTAGGTGATGGAGCATGCACAATACCAGGAACCTTACATCCAAACAGTGGTGTAATGTAAGCACGTTTACTGAAGCACTGCACTTTTCATTTAACATTCATTTTGTCAATTCCAGCTGTGCTTTTTCTACAGTCAAAATATGTGGAAAATGCCTGTTGGGGTAGTGACAGAGATAAACAGGGGTAAATATCTTAAAACCTGGATAAATTAGACCCAATATTTCTGTGTGATTTGGGTCAACTGACACTTGAATTTGAAATATTTGGGAATTTGGGAAATTTGAATATAGAATAATAATATTAATTACATTCAAATAACAAGGCGTTATAAAAAGTGGTTTCTGCTATTCAGCTTGTACTGTAAATGAAACGTTTTAAAAATGTTCTTACAATATGCGACTGTTTTCTATATTTTCTTTTCAGTTTATGAATGATCATCTCTTTGTCCATTCGTCCATAAGCTATTTTATTTCCTTCAAAGAGGTAATGTGTGTCATACAACAATGTTTTTCTCCCATGGACGACAGTAATATGCAGATGCCGTTAAGTCTTATATCAACTAATGGTCCATTGGCATAAGCATCCTTTAGGCTACCATGCAAGGTCAAAGGATTTCTGTTTTGAAATGAGTAAACCAAACTCGGGAAATGACCTTTCTATTTTTGTTTTGAAAATAATGAACAAAAAACAACCCTTTTTTGTTAAAAAAAAAGGAATAAAACGCAATAACTACCAGTTTTCAGTTCTTTTTTTGTTTCCCGTATTTATAAATGGTAGTCAGGAAACAGCTTGTTTCCCGATTTTTGTTTTCTTATTTCGAAACATAAATCCATTGGCTGCTAAGTACACTGATCATATAGTCATCTTACAAACTACACAAAAGCTGAATAATAATATCAACTATTTAACTAATTTCACATTTCTGCACCCTCCACCCACCCTCCCTCTCTGTCATTGAGGCATCAGGGTCAAGCTCTCCCCCCTCGGCTTTCAGCCACAGGTGTCCCAAGCAAAATCAATCCATAGGACCACACAGCTCATGTTAGAAGGAAGCACCCTACTACTTATTATGGTCACACACTACGCGTTAGATAACCACGAGGGTATGAGTTTTCTAAATGTAGCATGAGCTGGGAATGGCGATGTCATGACACGGAGGCCATGTAACACCAAGTCTCTTCATCTGTGGTGAAACCAATTTTAAGGTTATCAAAACTGGAAACGAGACTGCGGTTGTAGAGTGAAGCATCTCATGATGAAGGCTGCCGCGGGAGTAGAAGTGCCATTTTATCCAAGGAAATTGCAGAACTTGAGACCTTTAAATCACCAGTGTAAAGGATACCACAGTGATCATTCCTGACGGGTCCAAACATATTGATCATCATCCTCGTGTGCTGCTTAGACCTCCTCCTTCCGTTCCCACGAGGCTAAAGGAGCATGACAGCATTAGTAGAGAAGGCAGAGTATGACGTTATGCCAAGCAGCTCAAAGGCTTATAACTAGCTTTTCATCTCAGCAAAGAGCATGACAGAAGATGGAAATTTGTTGAAGTGTATCTGAAGACACATTTCAACAATTTTCCATAAAAAAGTAGATTTTCTTTCGGTTTTACTTGAAAAATCTTTTATTCAAGCAGTGCAGCTGTGAATGAACCATCAAAGTTTCACCATGCCATTAAAACACAAAGTGATCCAACAACAGTATTGATTATCCTCTGAAGTCAGCCATTGCACCAGTTGATACATAAACAAATGTCTTGAGTGGTCAGTGATTGAAGTTGTTTACATACCAGCTTTATAAGATTTACAGTGATCGGTGGGGCCCTTCATAGACACTGACCTGCACTTGCTTTCCTGTGATACTATTACGGACTACAGTGGACGCGGCCTGTTTAGATGACACCCACTGAACACATCAACCTCTGACCTTAGCTTGGGTCCTAAACCTTGTTGTCCTCATTACCTCATGCTGCCTTAATGTGTAGCATGTCATGGCATGCAAAGGCAATGCGGTGTGTGGGAATACAACTAGGCAGGATACTTCAAGTCAAAGTCAGCAATCTCACAGTAA